AAAAAAGATTAATAAGTAATCTAAAAATATATTGTTCATTGTCAGTTCATGTTAGTTAATGCATTAATTAATGTTAACCAAAGAGACCTTATTGTAAATTGTTGCCAACACTTTTTATGATCTATGACCTTTTATAAAAATTATTTTAATTATCTATAAGCAGTTGTGAAAATTATATAAAACAATGTCACCAGTAAAATACACACACATATATATATATATATACATATAAAATAATATGTGTGTGTGTGTTTGTTTATTATTCTAATTAATTGAACTGAGCAGTAAAGCTCTTAAAATACTTTTAAAATATTTTAAAAGACTTAAAATATTTTTTAACCTATCAGTGAGAGAGGTAGGATAAATAAAAGTTGTAATGATTTTTTTCTTTAAAGCTCTAAAAGCATTTCTACAATAATTATTTAAAAGTATACAGAGAGTACAGAACGGCCGTAACATTTCAAATGATTCTATGCATTTGTTTTCATTCTGATACACAGCTAAATAGCTGATCAGGATTGAGGTTAACTGTTATCCATAGAGTGTTGTAAAGTCTTGAAACTGTGACTATTTCCTCAGAATAACTTGTTCTATGTATGTAAAAAGTTTTGAACGGTTTGGAAGCTGCATTTTAATAATACATCACAATTACTCTGTAATTTTTTCCTGTTATTTTAACAAATCACCACGGCAAAACCGTTCATGCAATCCAAAATCCATCCGCAATATAAGTTCCTCAATGTTTTGGCATCATGTCGAAAAAGTTTGGTGTGTATAGCGTAAATTTCCTCTGAGGAGTATTCATTAATTCACAGCTATATTTTCCCAAAAATCCACATATACTTTTTACACAGCCCTGAATAGGCAACTTCCTGTTGGGCGGAGCCTATGACATGCAGTGCAAAAGTTGTTCGGCTCAATGAGTTCTATATGTGTACTGAGTTTCATATGAAGTTTTCCGGCTGTGTTCCAGGGGGCGCTGTAAAGCCCCTCTACCACGCCCAGGTCCCAGCCTCTGCAGCGTCCTAATGGCTGCAGGTTCCAACGCGTGTGCAAATTTTCAAGAGTTTTTGAATATGTTAAGGCCCCCAAAAAGCCCCGGAAGGTTGAAAAAAAATAAATAAAAAATAATAATCCTTAGGGGATCAATAGGGCCCTGCGCCTTTCTGGCTTGGGCCCTAATAATAATCCTTAGGAAAACAATAGGCCCCTGCGCCTTAGCGGCTTGGGCCCTAACTATATACAATATAACTAAATAATACATGTATATATTTATTTATAATAATACATATATATATATAACTAAATATGCGTAGTAATATGTGTAGTATAAATTACTACACTATAAATTACTACATTAGTATACATTACTGTTAATTTAGGCTAATTTGAATAATTAGGAAATTGATTTTAAAAAGTATAGTATAAAATGTTGTGGAATGTATGACTTAAGGTAAGGTGAAATAAAAGGAATTCAGAAAGTGAAAAAAAAACACGACATCTGTCATATTAAGTAAGTTGGATAAACACTTTATGACCTTTTCACAATGTTTTTGTAATGTAAGACGAAGAGACTTACATTTACACTGAAAATGATTTATACTGAGAATCTCATGCATATCCATAACATAAAATTAATTGCACATACATTCAAACCTTAAAGAATAAGTCTTTAATGTATTAGAATTTCATAAGTGTGTGTGCATGTCGTACTTTATATGTATCACAGGTTTTAAGGGTGTATACATGCATTGAGTTTGATCATTCTATTAAGACTTAACATGTTTTTCCCTTTCTTGCTAATTTGGAGCTGAAACGAGGGAAGCAGGGCCCTGATCAAGACTCTGCCCAGAACCACTTTCGAGTGGCTTAAAGTCGAGTTCTTCCACAGGGATCCCAAATGCTCGCAGCTTTGCTAAAGAAGTCTTCAGCAGGTCATTATGGGCCTGTGGATGGAAATAGACAGATACACTTAATCACGACAGGCTGTCGTCAATACATATTGTATGATATTTTTTAAATCACATGCTATTTTTAATCTAATAACAATAAATGTTTTATTCGGTAATGTGCCTGTGTCACATGACCAACTTTTAGTCATATTTCAGTGAAGATTAATTTAAGTTTTAATTTCAACATCCATTCACAAAAACAAACAAATAAGCACATTGTCATGCTATTCTAACATTATATTCGTTACTTATTTGTCTTATCTTGTTTCAGCTCAGTTCACACATTAACATTGATTTTAAGACTGTGAATATGTGCATACTGTTTTATGTGTATATGTGTGTGCCAAGTTTATGTATGTTTCAACATTTTAAAAGTGTATGTATGTGTAAGGTGTTGTCTAAGTTGTCTGCTTTTTACATTGGTGTGTGTATAATGTCATTTAATATGTACTGTTTGAGCATTCCATACTGTGGGATTACAAATTTAAGAATCTGTTTAAAATATGCTGATCCTATGTTCTGACATAGCATCACATGAAAGATCCCGCCCCCTTAAAATGTATATAAACTCTACTGTGCTGAGCTATAGTCAGACTTGGATGACTGCAGCGACGCACAGCGAGTCCTCAATAAAGAGTGACTTCTGTATGAAAGATATCCCAACGTCTCCTGGTTTCTGCTTCGACGAGGAAAAGTTTCCTACAGTTTTGGTGCCGTGACCCGGATAGAGCTCCTCACCTGAATCCAGATTGAAACTTCAAGCACAACAAAGATCTGACTACGTTCCAGACTGAATCTTTCTGTACAACCCAGGGTTGGTGAGTTCCACTCTATCCAAAAGAACCTTTAAGACCAGTACAAATGTGTTATCCTCTGCGCCGTCAGAGAAGAGTTAACAGACAGCTGTAGGGTTTGGTTAACTAAGTTATCCTCTAAAATATTTATTTTAGAGATGAAGGTTATCCTCTGTTTCGGCAGGGAAGAATTAGTTATCCTCTGTTAAGACAGGGAAGATTAACATTACGTGTTAATATTTGTAATCCTCTGGTTCGGCAGAGAAGAATTGGTCACCATCAGTTTTGGCAGGGAAGTTTAGCATAAAGTGCTAGTAAATTTGTTATTTGCTTTGCTTTGCCAAGGAAGGTTAACGGCTCTTGGTGCCTCTGCCCTAGTCTTTGAGTAGTTATGCTGATTGGATTAGGACTGTCAAACTGATTGGATTAGCACCTATGCATTTGAATGCCACTGTTATGCTAATGAGATCAGAGCTGGAGAAATTCCGGTAACGGGCTGATTCCTGTATTGCATTTGCATGCTTTGTTTAGATTGTCTCCACCTCTACTGAATGAATCCCACCCCCTTAAAATGTATATAAACTCTACTGTGCCGAGCTATAGTCAGACTTGGATGACTGCAGCGACGCACAGCGAGTCCTCAATAAAGAGTGACTTCTGTATGAAAGATATCCCACAAATAGAAAGCAGTTATTTTAAATAGTAAAAACATTTCACAATATTACTGCTTTTGCTGCATTTTGGATCAAATAAATGCTGGCTTGGTGAGCAGAAGAGAATTATTTAAAAAACATTAAAAATCTTACTGTTCAAAAACTTTTGACTGGTAGTGTAGCTTGATTGCCAGATACATAAATGTAGATCTAATAATTTTGAAGATGCAATGATGACTATGAGTTCCTAAAAACAACTTAATGAGAGAAATTCTGTAATTTGATTTTTCACCTTGAGTGAAGTGATAAGGTCCAAATTCTTGTAGACAATGTCATTGAAGTAGTTCCTGATGTCTCTGAAAGCTTTCTCATGATTCATCATCAGCATGTTGATGTGACTGTTCTTTCGTTCCTCGATCTCATGAATCTCTGTTTTGCATCTCAGTTCTTCCTCCTGCCGTAGTTTCTGCATCTTTTTCTTATATTTGGACTCAATTTCTGTGACAATATTTTCACTCCCATGTTAAATCACTAAAGCAAGTTTTTACGGTCTAGGAAAATCTCTTCACTTCCCATACCCGTTTACTTTATGCCACATAATACTGTGTTACAGTATTTAACAAAGAATATTTACTACTCATCAAAGCACTTCAAAATGTGAAAGTGAAAAAAAAGTCCAGACATATGAATTAAATTAATCACAAAAAAGTACTTTTTACTTTGAATAACCTAAATAACACATCATTAGTTGACCTGTGTCCACTTGAGATGGCTTTTTATGCAACCCCAAGTAATGCTTAATTGGGAAACGCTAACAACACTGCAGACCAATGTCCAGGTTGTATTCATGTTACACAAATGTATATGTTATAGACCACACTTTTGTAATGGTCACAAAATAAGTTCTTCATCAAATGTAGTACCAACTCTGACAGTACGTGATTTTGGACAGCACGTTTCCCTAAAAAAAACACACCTGATTCAACTCAACTCATTTTCAGAGACTTATTATCTTGTGAAAAATGTCTGGAAAATACACACAATGCACATGATGTCTGATATCACCCCCATACTCTCAATCACTACAGCCTACATTATTCCACTAATATAATAATAATAATAATTCTACATTACATTTATATAGTGCTTTTCTAAGCGCTTTACATTGTGAGGGGGGGTCTCCTCGTCCACCACCAGTGTGCAGCATCCACCTGGATGATGCGACGGCAGCCAAAGTGCGCCAGAACGCCCACAACACACCAGCTTATTGGTATAGAGGAGACAGAGTGATGAAGCCAATCATTATATGGGGATGATTAGGAGGTCATAATGGTCAGAGGGCAATGAAAAAAATAAGCAAGGTATTTTAAGTCTGCGTGTACCAGAAATTGCTACCGGCTTTACTTAAGCATTGTGACGTGTTTCCAACTGAAACGGAATATCGAATAGAGGGCAGGGTTTTATTTTAGAGCACATGCCTGGCATCTCTTGCTCGTATCAAACTAATGATTTGGAGGGGCATGGTTGAGAATACTCTTCCCAAACTATCAAACTGATATCATCAGAGAAGGAATGCCATTCCAGAGCAGAAGCAAATTTTCAGATTCTGATTAAAGATTACCAAGACAATTTTTTTTCTATGGGTTTACTTGCATGGATTATTTGTTTACCTCAAGACAAGCAATATGTGCTAACAAAGTAAATAGTTAACATTTTGATTTTAAATCAAATATGCTACATTACATATGCTGCACATCCATTGAGATTAAATAAAATAGTGTGCTGTAAAGACAGAGAGCAAAACTCAAAATGTTCAAAATGATTGAAGGCAAGTACAAGATCTGTTCTAAATTTATAATTAGCCTCTAACTCAAACACTGGTGAGTGAAATCTAACAATTTATTAGTCAATGGCTAACGATAGACATTATTTGGTCATCTATCATGGAAATTTAGTTGCATATGCGAGTGATTTACTTGCATTGTAGAGGGTTGATATAGTGCTCAAAATTAGTTCTATGCAACAAGAAAACTTAAAATTAAAATTTTTTTAATTAAAATTAAAATTTTAGCCCAGTGGTTCCCAAACTTTTTGCAGTGTGCACCCCTTTCTAGTGTTTGACACGTGTCACCACCTTACTCCAGTTAAACGCCACATTTTTAACTGCAATAACTAAATACATATATTCACTGTATACACACATTAACCTTTTTGCTCACCAGCAACTAAGATGTATTTACATAGTTTAAAGAAGCTGAAACGTAGCATGAATGCATTTACACTGCAAAATTACATTATAATATAGTTTGTTGCTATGAGATGTGCGACTGTTCTGCTGTGATCTTTGTTTGGAACTATTTTCGTTAACCAAATCGAGCAAAAACAGTCATAATGACAATATTGTACTAAAATGTAAGTCACATAATATTAACTACTAGTTTGAACTCTTGCATAAAATCAATGTCAAATTTGCAATCATACTGGTTTTCAGGGAAAACTGCACTCTCTTGGTCTTGTCATGTTGCTTAACTAGGCTATAGGCCTATGGTATAAATATAAAAACTAAATTTTTACTGCAGTATGTTTCTTCTGTGTGCAGTTTTGTTCATTTGTTTTGATTTCTCCACGAGATTGTCTCACACACAGACAGGCTGCGCAAGCCTCAACTGCCACGACTTTGTTACTGTCAATACATTATCCATTATCAATCGCCGTTTACACCAAATGTAATCAAATCTGAGTCAATTTCGGTGCTTCCCTAGTTAGATGTTTTCATCAGGTTAATTGTCCGGCCGGGCATGTAAAATTCCTTTTCACTTGCCCTTTCAAACAATCCACTTGTCACAGACAAGCATTTATGTCGAGCTCTGTTACTGTATAAAGTCAGCCCGCCAAAGTGGCTATATAGTGGCAGTGACCGTGTTCCACGCCACTGCTGAAATCCACCTGCATTTGGTAGCTTGGCAGGTGTTAATGTTAAGTCCTGACTGTATATTTGAAAACATCAAATTTCAGTTATAAATTAAAAAAAAAACAATATTACCCCCTATCTTTTTTTAGTGAGATGGATGGGCCTGCATGTTTGCACACAGATCATCAAAATAATTCCCTCGTGCACCATGGTGGTCAGTCTACGCACCCCAGTTTGGGAACCGCTGTTCTAGCCCATCCAAATATATAAAGACAGAAAATTTACCTCGTACTTGTCTGGCAAAATCATTTCTCAGAACAGTAATTTCCTCATCGTGTTTCTGTTGAAAGAGAATTTTGTTTATTTTCATTTATCTCAAATGCAAAAGCAAAAGTGTAACTGTCATTGTAATGGTAATCATTATAGCCAGGGTGCAAATTACGGGGAGGGGGATTGGGAGTAGTGTACTTGTAATATAAAGTTTACTTATATATAATATAATGGTCTTTTTGGGCACCATAAGACTGAATATAGAAAACGTTAAGATGGGTGTGCATACTGCACACTGACAACACAGGTTATTGACCTAACACAAAATAGTTTTCTTTATGTCTGTGAATATGCAGGGAAAAAAGCAGATATATCTGAGATTCAGGTATACAAGTATACAATATTAGAATACAACCCAGCGGGCACCTTGATGTCAACTGATATCAAGTTGATGTCAAATGTTAGTCAAGTCTTGATCAAGACGCTGTATAACATCATTTTAATGCCAGTTTGGACAGCAATTTCTTCCAGTGGTAATTGGGTGAAAATATGTATGGAATGCCAAACCTGACAAAATTAGAAATATATAAATACATAAATAAATATACAAAGAAATGTAAAAAAGCAAAAATAAATAAATAAATATACAAATAAATTTTATTAAATTAATTTATTTATTCTTTTATTTATTTCCACTTTTATTTATTTTCACATTTATTTGTTTCTACATTTCTTTGTCCGTAGGGTAATGATGAGGGTGTGTTTTAACTCAGGAATAGCAATCGAGCCTGAGTAGGTGAGTTGTACGTTTGAGGCCATAGTGACACAACACCTTGTGTTGTGTCCAAACAAAATACAAGCACTGTAGCCTACATGACGTGCCTGTTGATAGTGGGATGAATTAATTATTTTCCCAATTTTCCCCCGATTTACAGCCTGAACAAGTTGACGCTAGTTGCTGAAAGTCAGTGCCAGTCTATAGATTAGAATTGACAGATTCCACATAAAATCGCATAGTGTATGATGGTCACAGATAAGGAATTGATTCCATCCAGTCGGAGGATATCAAACATGTTTGATATTTTCAGCTGATTTTAGAACACATTGTTTCCATTTGTAATGCGTCTCCTAGAAACAAGGCGCACATTTCTGCATGAGTTTGTTGTGATCGGAACAACTTTAAAGTCTGGTAGTGTATGATCCTCAGTCGTGTAGAGTATGATGGCCAGTTTTCCTATGTGATTATTTACAAAGTCGGTAAGTGTATGATGCCTGGTGATTAAAATCTGCTCAGATTTTAAAAGTCGTGTAGTGTATTCCAGCCTTAAGATTGGCAATATGGCCAAAATCTTATATCACGGGTTAAGTTATTTAATATCACCCTAACTGTATTTATACAATCTAAGTCATTCATCCCACTATTAACAGTCACGTCATGTAGGCTACACTGCTTGTATTTAGTTTGGACAAAGTGTCACTGTGGCCTCAAAGCTTACAACTCGCCTACTTTGGCTCGATTGCTATTGCCATTACCCTACGGACAAAGAAATGTATAAATAAATAAATGTGAAAATAGATAAATGTATAAATAAATAAAAGAAAAAATAAATAAGTGTGGAAAAAATATACTGTACATAAAAAAGGAAATAAAAGTATAGATAATCATTTATTTTATTTTTTTTTACTTTTATTTGTATATTTATCTTTGCTTTTTTACATTTCTTTGTATATTTATGTATTTATTTATTTATTTCTAATTTTGTCAGATTTGGCATTCCATAAATATGAAGTTAATACACTGAAATTGGTTTAATGTATATGTAGGCCAATGTGTTTGAAATTCAGTTTGCATCAAATCAATGTCATGATTTAGACGTCATATTGATGTCATATGGACATCACATTGACATCTATGATTTGTGTGTTTGATTGATATATATTGCATAATATGCATTCTTTGTCGGTCTGATTAAGTTTCAAGTAGAATTTTTTCTTAACTGGGGCCTCGGACAGCATCGATTTGCCACATCTCGTTTTGAAACATGTCCCAGTGGGCAAATGATATTCAAAAGACCTGAAATTGACATCAAAAATGTCAATGTGAAAAAACAGCTCAAATATCCAAATCAAACTGACGTCAGAAACTTGATGTCCATTTCAGATCAACATACTCATTTTCTTTTTAATGTCCATTCAATGACAAAACTTTCTCTGCTGTTTAGCACCACACCTGTAGATGGCCACTAGAAGTGACGGTCTGCTTCAAAAGCATTGACAATCCTAAAACTAACCGTGACCTTGTGTGCAGCTCATGTTCTGTCACTCTCAGGTGGGTACATGTCATGTAATGTAAAACAAGTTTGGGTAACTTTTAACACTTACAAGAATGTGTTTGAAAAAATATGACTTTGTGCTACGACTATTTCTGGTAGTTTTTGTGTATGCACGGCTAAAAATGCTTTGATTACATTTACCACTGTAGCATGAGTGCGACAGTTTGGAATGTGCGTGACACAAAACCGCTTGTTTGTGTGTGAGGTTAATTCATGACACGCCGCTATTTCAAAACGGTTACACTGTCCATATATCCATATGATTTCTGCGATGCGGACAACATGGAAGGAACCACGGAGTACAGGCATAAAACCACAATTCACTGCATAATACGGAATGTCACGGAATTTGGGCAATTTTGAATTAAACAATCAGGATGTAGCCCTGCACAGCTAATCAAATTCATATTGTGATATGGACTAACGTTAGTAATTATTCATCTGTTGTTCTGCGATCTTTGTTCACAATCAGAAGAGTGTCAGAAACAATCAGTTTCTTTTTTAATTTACATTTGTATTATTGATTTCAAGTTTGTTGAATAAAACTTTTCTTTCATTGCATTGATTTTCTGTCATAATTTTGGTTGTCGAAAGAACATTAGATTGTGGATGTCAAATGGACGTTAAGTTTTTGACATCAGTTTGATTTGATTTTAAGACGCTAATGTTTGATGTTAATTTGATGTCTTGTTAAGGTGTCCGCTGGGAAGGCTCTGTCCCAAACTACACTATATTGTGTTAAAATTCAAAATTTACCATGCAATATTCACAACATTAACAACAATCTGTTAATGTTTTTCCCTTCCTCCCACACTGTGTAATTCATATCCTGATTACATAGTATTGTAATCATAATCATACCAGATGAAGGTTCTTTATCACATTCTCATTGGACAGCTCCTGCTCTTTCACGTCCACTTTCAAGCAGCACATGTCCTTCCGTAGCTGATTCTCAAAGGCAGCGTGCTCCTTTTGCAGCAGTTTGCTGCTGACAACACTTTCAGCTTTCAGCTCAGAGAGCATGTTCTGCTCTTCATACAGTAAGTGCTTCACCTTCTGCTTATAAACCTGAACAAAAACAGATTCATATCACACAGTGTTATGTTCATTATGAGCCAACACATAGTTAATCAATTATGAATATATATTGATTATGATTATATAATTAATAAATTATGAAAATAACTTTCAACACCTTAATTTCCACTTGGTGGCGCTCCTCACCCTCCTCTAGTTCACGCTCTCTGTTTCTCAGTTCACACTTTTTCTCTTCCAGTTGTCTTTTGGTGATTTCCCAAAACGTGTGGATTTTATCCCTCTCTAGTTGGAAATAGTTGCGTTCCTCTCGTTCTCTGTCCAGCTCCTCTCGCAGACGCACAATGTGCTCTTCCAACTACAAAACTCTCATGAGTTAAAGACAGATTGATAAAACGAAATATAAATGAATGGCTACCATTAACAAGGTGTTCTTGGTTTCATTATTATTAGTAGTAGTAGACTACACACATGAGAAAATCACACCTGCTCTTTAGACATCTCATCTGTGGACAAGCCATCCACTACTGTTGGAGTTTTGCCCTTTGGGGACTTGTTGAAAGATTTTCTTTTTGGCGGCTGGAATATGGACAGATAAACAGGTAAAGTTTAAAAAAGTTTAGGTCTATTGTGCTGGATACTGTACATTTCTATTGCACACGCACAGGAAACTATTTTCACATTTCCTTTATGAAAATTAACTATGGTTTTGTTCAATTAAAAGTGTAGTTTTTAAAAAATTATTATTACCATTTGTATAACCACAGTTCTACTACAAATACCATGGTTAAACTATAGGCCTAGTTAGTGTAGCAAAACCATGGTTAATTTATGATTACACTTTATTGGATTTTTTATTATTTATTATTGTAGTAAAATCATGGGATATATTTATATACTATTAATGTATTGACACAACAAAAATAATATACTGCAAGGGATACATTCTCTATTTAGCGGAAATACAGTTTGTAATAAACATATTTTATCAGACTTTACGTTAGCTTCTAGTATAGTAATAATTAGTCGATAAACTAGCGTCTCACCCACCAACAACAGCGATACTGAGCCACATTTATTTATTCTCGCTGAAAGTTCATCTGACAATAAACGCACAGACGGCATGATTTAAAAACATTTGCTTACCATTATTTGTGAAAGCGTTTATCATCACCTCAAATGAAAATAAAGTGTTTTTTTCGCTTCACACGCTAACACTACTAAACAATGGTTTCCTAGCAACATGAAATCTCTTCTTCTGCCGGTGCTGCTGCTGCTTCTTCTTCTTCTTCTTGTTTTACTGTGGATCGGAAACAAAAAGTGCATTAACGCCACCTATTGCCCAAATGGACCATTGACGATCGTCCTACATGAACATCAACAACTTAACATAACATCCGATTTAAAAACCCACATAAGGGCTTAAGACTTCGTCCAAAATCAATAATAACAAAACTTTATACACACTCACTATATTAATTTAAACCTGTACTTTTCAGATAGCCATTGCAACATTAATAATGTACTATTTTTACCTGCCTAGACTTAGTAGATTTTTAAAAATGTATCCTGCATCTGGATTTAGAAGATTTTTGTAAATGTAATGATGTCCTTTCCTCACTAGTTCTTCATTTTAATTATTTATTTCAACTGTATAGTTCCTGCAATGCATTATAACATGTTAAACTAACTCATTAACTCCACATCCCTCACAGACATGTTGGATGCTTAACTTATTAAGCACATGTTCAAACCTGTATCCAGAGATGAAAATGTATTTAAAATAATTTTTCCTCTGTGGAAAAATTAACACAAATACAAAATACTGCGTGGAGAAATGTATTTAAATACAAATACAGTATTTTGTATTTTGAAAATACACAACATACATGTGAAATTGGCCATTCAGTGCAGGTATCCCTAGGCTGAAATCTATCTGGACCAAACAAACACACATTTCGATGTGTACAACTGCTTAGAAACTTTTGTTTTTATTTTACATACCTCTTAGTTTATACCTCTTAGTTAAAGTGTATTTTGTTGTATATAAAGTTTATTCAAATTAGAAAGTTTATTTAAAATGTTTTTTTTTTTTAGAATATTTAAATAGCATTTAACACTATTTGCTCAAAGGTTTTTTGTTTTAGTTTTTTTTACGAACAATAAAACCAAAACCGTAAGATTTTTTTTGTGGTGAACCATTCATCAGTGTCTTTACAAATTAAATTGTTGATGTCACGGAATTTGGGCAATTTTGAATTAAACAATCAGGATGTAGCCCTGCACAGCTAATCAAATTCATATTGTGATATGGACTAACGTTAGTAATTATTCATCTGTTGTTCTGCGATCTTTGTTCACAATCAGAAGAGTGTCAGAAACAATCAGTTTCTTTTTTAATTTACATTTGTATTATTGATTTCAAGTTTGTTGAATAAAACTTTTCTTTCATTGCATTGATTTTCTGTCATAATTTTGGTTGTCGAAAGAACATTAGATTGTGGATGTCAAATGGACGTTAAGTTTTTGACATCAGTTTGATTTGATTTTAAGACGCTAATGTTTGATGTTAATTTGATGTCTTGTTAAGGTGTCCGCTGGGAAGGCTCTGTCCCAAACTACACTATATTGTGTTAAAATTCAAAATTTACCATGCAATATTCACAACATTAACAACAATCTGTTAATGTTTTTCCCTTCCTCCCACACTGTGTAATTCATATCCTGATTACATAGTATTGTAATCATAATCATACCAGATGAAGGTTCTTTATCACATTCTCATTGGACAGCTCCTGCTCTTTCACGTCCACTTTCAAGCAGCACATGTCCTTCCGTAGCTGATTCTCAAAGGCAGCGTGCTCCTTTTGCAGCAGTTTGCTGCTGACAACACTTTCAGCTTTCAGCTCAGAGAGCATGTTCTGCTCTTCATACAGTAAGTGCTTCACCTTCTGCTTATAAACCTGAACAAAAACAGATTCATATCACACAGTGTTATGTTCATTATGAGCCAACACATAGTTAATCAATTATGAATATATATTGATTATGATTATATAATTAATAAATTATGAAAATAACTTTCAACACCTTAATTTCCACTTGGTGGCGCTCCTCACCCTCCTCTAGTTCACGCTCTCTGTTTCTCAGTTCACACTTTTTCTCTTCCAGTTGTCTTTTGGTGATTTCCCAAAACGTGTGGATTTTATCCCTCTCTAGTTGGAAATAGTTGCGTTCCTCTCGTTCTCTGTCCAGCTCCTCTCGCAGACGCACAATGTGCTCTTCCAACTACAAAACTCTCATGAGTTAAAGACAGATTGATAAAACGAAATATAAATGAATGGCTACCATTAACAAGGTGTTCTTGGTTTCATTATTATTAGTAGTAGTAGACTACACACATGAGAAAATCACACCTGCTCTTTAGACATCTCATCTGTGGACAAGCCATCCACTACTGTTGGAGTTTTGCCCTTTGGGGACTTGTTGAAAGATTTTCTTTTTGGCGGCTGGAATATGGACAGATAAACAGGTAAAGTTTAAAAAAGTTTAGGTCTATTGTGCTGGATACTGTACATTTCTATTGCACACGCACAGGAAACTATTTTCACATTTCCTTTATGAAAATTAACTATGGTTTTGTTCAATTAAAAGTGTAGTTTTTAAAAAATTATTATTACCATTTGTATAACCACAGTTCTACTACAAATACCATGGTTAAACTATAGGCCTAGTTAGTGTAGCAAAACCATGGTTAATTTATGATTACACTTTATTGGATTTTTTATTATTTATTATTGTAGTAAAATCATGGGATATATTTATATACTATTAATGTATTGACACAACAAAAATAATATACTGCAAGGGATACATTCTCTATTTAGCGGAAATACAGTTTGTAATAAACATATTTTATCAGACTTTACGTTAGCTTCTAGTATAGTAATAATTAGTCGATAAACTAGCGTCTCACCCACCAACAACAGCGATACTGAGCCACATTTATTTATTCTCGCTGAAAGTTCATCTGACAATAAACGCACAGACGGCATGATTTAAAAACATTTGCTTACCATTATTTGTGAAAGCGTTTATCATCACCTCAAATGAAAATAAAGTGTTTTTTTCGCTTCACACGCTAACACTACTAAACAATGGTTTCCTAGCAACATGAAATCTCTTCTTCTGCCGGTGCTGCTGCTGCTTCTTCTTCTTCTTCTTGTTTTACTGTGGATCGGAAACAAAAAGTGCATTAACGCCACCTATTGCCCAAATGGACCATTGACGATCGTCCTACATGAACATCAACAACTTAACATAACATCCGATTTAAAAACCCACATAAGGGCTTAAGACTTCGTCCAAAATCAATAATAACAAAACTTTATACACACTCACTATATTAATTTAAACCTGTACTTTTCAGATAGCCATTGCAACATTAATAATGTACTATTTTTACCTGCCTAGACTTAGTAGATTTTTAAAAATGTATCCTGCATCTGGATTTAGAAGATTTTTGTAAATGTAATGATGTCCTTTCCTCACTAGTTCTTCATTTTAATTATTTATTTCAACTGTATAGTTCCTGCAATGCATTATAACATGTTAAACTAACTCATTAACTCCACATCCCTCACAGACATGTTGGATGCTTAACTTATTAAGCACATGTTCAAACCTGTATCCAGAGATGAAAATGTATTTAAAATAATTTTTCCTCTGTGGAAAAATTAACACAAATACAAAATACTGCGTGGAGAAATGTATTTAAATACAAATACAGTATTTTGTATTTTGAAAATACACAACATACATGTGAAATTGGCCATTCAGTGCAGGTATCCCTAGGCTGAAATCTATCTGGACCAAACAAACACACATTTCGATGTGTACAACTGCTTAGAAACTTTTGTTTTTATTTTACATACCTCTTAGTTTATACCTCTTAGTTAAAGTGTATTTTGTTGTATATAAAGTTTATTCAAATTAGAAAGTTTATTTAAAATGTTTTTTTTTTTTAGAATATTTAAATAGCATTTAACACTATTTGCTCAAAGGTTTTTTGTTTTAGTTTTTTTTACGAACAATAAAACCAAAACCGTAAGATTTTTTTTGTGGTGAACCATTCATCAGTGTCTTTACAAATTAAATTGTTGATGACAGACAGTGATTAACCTAATTATTTTGTCTCTACATAAACATACATTTGCATAGATGGGTGAACACAATCACCTGGTTTTGTAAATGTGACAAATTTTTCATTAAGCACTGTAACGATCAGGCCACTGAAGGCGAGTTAAGGATGAACCCAAGTGCAGCTTTATTTACAAAGTGATCCAGAATCCAAACAATAAACACAGACTTGACTTGACTTGACTTGACTTGACTTGACTTGAACACTAACCAACAGCAGGACAAATACATTCAATTCATGACCAGGAACAAAGGCAACAACATGGCTACTTATAGCAAACAAAGAGGGTCACATGACATGAACAAACCAATGGGAAACAAGACACATGACCTGGACAACCAATCAGAACATGACACAATGAACAGAGGAACCAATAGCATGAAGACAAGAGGGCAAGGGAAGCATGACAGTAACAGCATGAAACAATTACAAAATAAAAGACATAAAACATGAACATGACAAAACCCAAAACAGACCTTACACGCACCAAGTTTGCACTTGTCTAAAATTTAAAATGCTTACATTTACAAAATGAGCCTGGAATATCAGAAATAATGAATAAAGTAATGGTCCATGTTAAATACAAATATTAATTCAAATAAAATGTTTAATGAAATAAAAAAACATATGAAAGCATTATTTAATTTAGTGTTATACATAGGTTATCATATTCATATGGTTTGTTCTAATGTCACAAATCAATCTCAAGTTTACTGCATTTTACACAATTCTTTGAATTCTTTTGTGTGGGTTTAAGAAGTGTACTCAAAAACATTTTCACATGTGTCCTCCAAAATTAGTCACAACAAAATCAGTTTAGATGTGAAAAAATCCATTTATTTACAAACTTCTCACGAAATGACTGTTTGACAAACTACTCGGCAAACTACTTCCTCTCACCCCGGCTCTCTGATGGTTTGGAGAACAATTACTCTGAGTCGTTTCACAGAATTATACAACGGCGAGTGCATCAAGTATAAAAGCCTTGTCCGTTTAGGGAGGAGCGGGCAGTCAGCAGGTTCGAGGCGTAGAGCCAGGCGAAAGTATAAACAAGGCTTCAACTGCACAAAACGCTTCCAATATGACAGAAATCGGGAGCTGAGCAGTAATTCCACAGCTTGCCGTGTCCCGTGTAAAAGGGCCTTTAAGTCA